ATCTTTGCCCAGTGAGTTCTGAAACAGACAGCAAGGATCTGGCCTTCACCTGGTGCACTGCTGAGCCCTCCCACGCGGGGGTCACTGTGAGGTCCTGATGTAAACGTGTACATGGAGAACACTGCAGTGTGTCACAGGCCAAGGACAAGAAGAAATGATTAAATGCTATCAATCAGTGGGGCCTGAGCCCCACTGAGCACTGAAGAAATACTGGCAAAGCCAGTGGTTTTATAACATGCTCACTAACAGTACTATATACCTGCTCTCTCCATCTCAGTTTAATAAAACTGAAAAGAATCACCTGACATTATAGATCTTTCCAAACTATCAATTTTATATTTCTAAGTCAAAATTAATTTAAGACTGTCCTCAAAATAGAATAATGTCTAAACCTGTTCATTAATGGAAAGTCCGTTTAAGCTTGCAGCTTTGTCATTCCAAGTTGAGTTCTGATTTTGAAACACCATTGGCAAATGTGACAGTAAAATAAGAAAAAGTGAAGCAATGGAAAAACCTCCCCTGGCTCACAGTGTTGAACAGAAGGTATTTCCAACCCTCAACATGTGTTTTTGAGCTTTCTTTTACGAGGAAGAGAGATCATTCCACTACTGCCATGGAGAGCACTTCATAAGGAAAATAAATTTCTCTAGAAATGTTATATTTACACTTACATTTTTAAAAGAAACAGGCAACATTTTAAAGGTGCAATTCCAACCTGACAGCCTCCTCATCTAGACACTTTGAGGAGTATCACCTGCCCTGGAAACAGGCCATTAAATCCATTTTCCCAGGAGAAACTACAACACGAATTATTGATGAATTATTGATTTATTCATCTAAAATGAAACTGTCCCTAAATGGTAGAGTAAGAGCTAGATGCTCATTTTATCTGTCACATTCCAAATCCAGAGAACATTAAAAAATAAAAGGTAAATAAACTTTTAATTGAGGTCATCAACCTTCTCTCATTTATAGAAACATGGCACTAAGATATCAGAAAGCACAGATTCTTTGTGAAAAAAATATTTTGCAAAAGCTTTCATATAAAAACTTCAAAAGCAGAAAAGTGGTATCCATGATGAAATAAAAAAAAAAGGCAGGGAGAGGGTCATTTTAACCAATTATTGCTAAAAAAGCAGTTAGAAATTAAACCAGTATCTGTTTTTAGACCATTATAACTTTGTCTTTTCTCAAACTCTGAAAAGTTTCTAAATGGTTTATTTTTCTGTCCCTTACAAGAAAGAGTAATTTAAAATCTGAATCAAAAATGTGTTTCCTTCATTCATTACAGAAAAGAAAATATTTAACATTTTTTTTTGTTATCACACAAACCTCTGATGGTTTCATAGGAGCCACAGTATCACCCTCATTGAATATTTGACAATTACATAACACTGAGCAAGACTAATACCCATCCCCTGGGGGCACGGAGCCGAATAGATGCTTCCAAACACCCGCATCACACAAGAGGAAGGATGTCCTGGAGGAAGCTGGCATGACGTGGTCTCTTCTCAGGGACTTTCCTTTGGTGCACAGGGACACCAGCCACTCTGCTAGAATTAAGTTATTTAAATGGGAAGACAAGCAACCTTGCCCTCATGGTAAACCTTGGGAAACTGAGAGGAAATACCAAAATTGGTTGCCGCTATGTGCAGGACGAGCAAGATCAATTTTGAAAGCATATCATCACCAACTCTCATGAAAGATAATCACGAGAACTTAAAACAGACAGGCTGAACCAACTGCTCATCACCCCTCACGGCAGTGAGGGAAGAACTAAGTCACACCTTCACCCACGCCTCGCTCCCTCGTGCCTTTATTTTATTCTGCCCTACACAATAAAGAAATAGAAACAAGGAATAAAATTACTTTTAAAAACTTTAAGATTAAGCAGTGCCTTCTATAGGCATCATTCTCCCAAATCCATCAACAGAAAGGACAGTCAGATTTGTTCCTACAAACCCACCAGCTCCCAAATCTTTGAACCTTTTCCTTCTATCCAGCACCACTCCCACACTAGTGTACTTCTTTGCCTTGTCTTGCCTTCCTCCCTGAGCCCGTGGTTAAGAAAGGCAGACATCTCAAAGTAGCTTATACATTCTGCTAGGATTTTGTAAAATGCTTACTACTTTATAATCTGTTAATTACTCAATGATAAGATTGATATAAATGTATGAATCTGATCCCTTAAAACATTTAAGACTATTTTTAAGTCTCTATAAATCATTTTTTAAATGGTCTGTAAACCCCTCACTGATTTCAAAATAAACAGCTGCTTGCTGGTCGTAAAACAGATAGCTACGTATGACCCATTATCTCAAGCTAACTGAATTAACAGCTACTGTAGACCAACTCTGCATCAAGCACTCTTTGGTTTCGTGACTAATAAATGAGCAAGATGTGGCCCCAACATCAAAGAATTCAGTTTAGTGGGAAGTTAATGGGATAAATAAAAAATTACCACACAGCTTTGATGAATAATGGAACAGAAGAAGATACACGGTACAGAGAAAGGCATATAAGACAGGGCAGCTAGGGGGAGGTTGGAGAGCTCCTTCAAAGGCCCACCTGCTAAAAATATGCACACTCTTCCCCAAACCTGCCATGTGTACAATATTGACAATACTGACAAATTAGTTATTCATTTGGAATAATAAATTATTTCCAGAAATCCCACATACAATGTTGGCATTACTTGGAAAAACATGATTCCTTAACATTTATTATTATATTAGAATAGATTCACTTGTACTGAAAAAAAAAGTAGAACAAAAGATATGTGTGTGTTTTGGTAAGAAGACACCTTAAATGTTAGTTCATGGGACACAGCCCATCAGGGATTATCTCAAAAGGGACATACATTCAGAAGGACCTAGAAAGTGGACCCACATAGTGAACATGTGACCTCAGAGTGACTACAGCTTGTCCTGATCAGACTTATTAAAAACAGGGTTATTACTTTAAAACCTATATAAACCTTTAAACCTATATAAACTCCTAGAAGAAAACATAGGCAAAACATTCTCTGACATAAATCTTAGCAATGTTCTCCTACGGCAGTTTACCCAGGCAATAGAAATAAAGCAAAAATAAACAAGTGGGACTTAATTCAACTTATAAACTTTTGCACAGCAAAGGAAACCATAAGTAAAACAACAAAACAACCACCTATGGAATAGGAGAAAATATTTGCAAATGATGCAACTGACAAAGGTTTAATTTCCAAGATATAAAAACAGCTCATACAACTTAATAAGAGAAAACAAACAACCCAATCCAAAAATGGGCAGAAGACCTAAACAAGCAATTCTCCAGCAAAGACACAGAAATGGCCAATAGGCACATGAAAAAAGGCTCAATATCACTAATTATCAGAGAAATGCAAATCAAAACTACAATGAGGTATCACCTCACACCAGTTAGAATGGCCATCATTCAAAAGTCCACAAATGATAAATGCTGGAGAGGCTGTGGAGAAAAGGGAACCCTCCTACATTGCTGGTGAGAATGTAGTTTGGCACAGCCATTATGCAAAACAGCATGGAGATTCTTCAAAAAACTCAAAATAGACTCACCATATGACCCAGCAATCCCACTCCTGAGCATATATCCAGAGGGAACTCTAATTAGAAAAGATACATGCACCCCAGTGTTCATGGCAGCACTATTTACAATAGCCAAGACATGGAAAAAACCTAAACATCCATTGACAAATGACTAGATAAAGAAGCTATGGTATATTTATACAATGGAATGCTACTCAGCCATAAAAAACAATAAAATAATGCCATTTGCAGCAACATGGGTGGACCTGGAGATTGTCATTCTAAATGAAGTAAGCCAGAAAGAGAAAAAAATACCATATGATATCATGCATATGTGGAATCTAAAAAAAAACAAAAGAAAGAAAAAAGAAAAAGAAGGACACTAATGAACTCATCTACAAAACAGAAACAGTCTCACAGACATAGT